CCGGATATTTTATTTCACCAAAACTGATTTTTAAATAAGCTAAACTAAATTTTCTGGTATTTAAATATTCAGACAAGAAAATTAAATATTTATCCTTTTCTAAAAATCATTTTTATTGTTTTAAATAAAATATTTATCCTTTTCTAAAAATCATTTTGATGGTCTTAAATTTATTAATATATGGGCCCATTATACTCTATGGGCCCCACCATTCTAGAACATTTGATGGAGGACATGGAGCCCACTAGTGCCCATGGAGTGGCACAACCAACTTTTCTCCCTCTTTCCTTTTTTGTGTTGGGTTGTGTCCTAAGCCATTCAAGTGTTTGATTTTCAAAAGAAGCATGTGTAAGATTGATTGAAAATAAAAGGCAAGAGCATTATATTTTTTCTACATTAAATATTTGATGGGATTAGGTTAAGGAAGCAGAGAGATAAGGTTCTAGTACTTTCTATTAGATCATGATGGTTGATCTATAGATTGTATGACTAAGATCTCTCACCCCACATGTCACATTTGATCAATGGTCTAGACGAGATCTCCATAAGGATGGTTAAACCTTGAACCCTAACCTTAGCCTCATCTCTATAAAATATCTCAATGACTCTATACAATAACCTAGAACTCTCACTCTCTCTCTGCTCAAGGTGGCACGCCACCCTTTCTCCCTTCTCTCTATCTTTCTCTCTCCATCCCTCAAAGACTCTCTCTTAGACAAAACAAAGGAGCACACCCCAACCTTTGGTAGAGACATATAGCGGCACGTCCCATACATAGAGAACTAAGAGAAGGGCCCAGATTAATGTTCCACATGCTCTCAATGCATTGAAGGATTTCTAGCCTAAGCTTCCTAAAGTTTGCAAGATCTAAGAAAGACTTAATCCCATACGCCATCAGTGGACAAAGTCCAATTGAGGCAATCTTTTGCCATTCTTTTATTTTACTGCATTCTTATGTTTCTTGTTCCCAAGTTCAAGTTATTGTAATTTTTTGTTATGTAATGTATAATTGTTAAAAGTGGCAGCAAGTGAGAATCCATATTTGAGTTTTATTTTGTTTATTTGAGTTCTTATTGTAATCTTTGGACTTATGTAAGTGTTCTAGCCGGTTTAGAAATAATAATAATTTAAACTATATAGACCGTGCTAATTCACATTGTCCACTTTCAAAAATGACCCTTAAATAGGTAGATGCAAGTGCAAATGATTGGGGAAATAGGGCAGCAGCCAGTGGTGGTGATTTTGGAATAAAAGGCGGCATGATTGTTGCTGGTTTAACATCCCACACTACTGGAACAGCCAACCAGCAAGGTGCCTTGGACCAAAAAGGGGATGCTTCAGGAGTTGGTCGACCAGAAAGAGGTGCTGGTAGCAAGATCAAGCTATAAGTGTTCGAGGATTGAGCATGTCTCATCACAGTGCACAAATCGCATGTTCAGTAACCTTTCTGAGGAGTTTTATGATTCTTTTGAAGATCATCCTATCTACAATGAGTCAGTTGATGATGAAGACCTAGAAGTGGCTTATAGTGATCATGGGGAGGCATTGGTAGCATGATTACACCCTGAGTAGTAGATGATGCAGACTGGTTCAACTCAAGGAACTTCCCATCAACTTGTTTCCAAAATCAGCAAGGCATTGATTGGGACTTTCCACTGGTATTTGATGAATGTTTAGATGAAGAAGGTAGTGATCCAATTTTTTATTAGGGACAGCATATCCTAAATTTGTAGAGCCAGAGTCAGGAGTTTGAGGAGCTGTTTTGGTTTAAGCACTGAGCATATTCACATATTTATGGAGTAGATCAAGTTCAATCCCAGTAGCGAAGGTAGGCGCATAAGCTCATATTCCCTTGAGGGGAGCGAATACACTAGATCTGGGTATGTTGGCTAAGGAGCTGGGACTGGTGGTTATGGATCATTACCTAGAACCGAAACTGACCCTAACTTTCCACGTCAATACAAGGAATGTAACAATGGTTGAGATGCAGATGAAGAAGCTTTGGAAGAGGAAGTTGCTGATTTGGTTAGTGAACTAGGGGTTCGAGATGATCATGTCGAAGATGTTCCCTTGGTTTGTTCTAGAGCTGAACAAAGGCAATATGAGCACAGTTTAACGGCTATATTATGCAATTTCAACTGGTTAATGTGACTAAACCAAGTGTACATATCATGGTTGTTCCATCAACATATAATGACCCTTTCCTCAAGGGATTCTCAAAACTACTTATGGATATATCAACTAATTGCAAAGACTCAGTTTCAAGGTACAATCATTGTGTCCTACATTCCATCTTCATCTCTCCTCAAGGAGGGACTCCATGGTATGGACTTTAGCCCCCTCTGGTACGTTCTCGGTGGCCTTATTCTACAAAAGACTCATCCAACCCCCCACTGACCCTCATAATCCTCCTTTCGTCCTTTCTAAGGTCTGGTCCACAATTGCCCCTCCCAAAGTTCAGACTTTCAATTGGATTGCGGGCTCTCAACAGGCACTCACAGTGGACCAGCTTCAGAAGAGAGGGATTCCAATCCCCAACAGATGTGTCATGTGTTTGAGTGAGGAGGAATCAAATCCACACCTCTTCATTCACTGCTAGCTAGCCCACAACCTTGGAGTCAACTATTGCAGCTATTTGGTCTCCAATGGGTTAACTCCACCGACGGTCAAGGCCTTAAGTTCCTCGGAATTTGCATCACACTAGCCAAAAGCCGAAAGAACCTTATCGAAGGCTGCCATCACTGCTTCCATATGGGTGATATAGGTAGAAAGGAATACGAGAATATTCCAAGGTCACAAACTCCAGGTACCAGCACTCTTCCACAAGATTACTACTTTAGTAACATTCTGGGCATCCAACCACAGGATGTTCAAGGGCATATCAGCGAACACCTTTTGCAGCCAATGGGAAAACATACTCTACCACCATCCACGAAAGGTGCAAAGATCAAACAATTGGCAGCCACCTCCGGAGGGAACCATCAAGCTCAATTTCGTTGGTTGCTCCCTGGGGAACCCCAATCCTGCAGGAGCCGAAGGTGTCTTTAGAGAACACCATCGCAACATTATCTTCACCTGCTCTGAACATTTAGGCCACAAAGATTCTCAATACGCAGAAACCATGGCCCTGCTGTTGGGTCTCAAAAGCTTCAACCATTCCTGGGGCTCACACCTTTTAGTGGAAGGAGATGCACACAATATTATAGCCTGGGCAACCGGGATGACACCACCCCCATGGTACCTACCTTCGATCTTTGATGAAATTGCCTACATTTGCAGGGATACAGACGTCTCATGGAAGTCCGGAGGACATGCAATGAGTTCGCCGATCTTCTGGCGAAAGATGGAGCTAGGAACCAAGGAGAAGACAACGTCTAGTCCATCTCCTTTTTTGATCAGGACCACAAAAGGCACACAACGTAGAACACCTCTTTAAAATCGAGCAATTCATAAGCCCAATTTTTTGTAAACCTACTGTAAATCCTTGTAATCAGGCAGACTCATAAGCCCATATTTTGTATAGGGTCTGCTGACCATTTTTTGTACCGAGAGACCAATGTAGAGGGTTCTCTCGAACTACCACATATTTGTATCCCAACTTCTCTTAGCAATAAAAAATGTTAACCTTACTCAAAAAAAAAAATGTACAATATTTGTGTTTTGATTAGTCCAACAATTCAAAGTCCTAGAATCGTGCTTTCAGAATTTGGATTAAAAAAGGTTGTTGGACTAACGCAAAAATTCATCTTAGCTTATTTCAAAACTCAAAGACGAGATTTCTCCAACCAAGGGAAAATGATGCAAGACAAGATGTTTGTTATTTTTGAATTTTTCTTAATAAATTTTAAGGATATATTTTTGAAATTTTCTAGGGCAATTTTTATGGGTTTTAAGTTCTTTTACGGATTATAGGATGTTTTATATGTTTTAGGATTTTAGGAGATATTTAAAAAAGTGGTTGGAATAATTATGGAGTTATTTGTTTTATTATGGGTAAAAATATCATTACAAAATTTATTTTAAGTGAAGGGACTTACGGGGTATATTTATAATGTTTTAACTTAAGTGGGGGTGGTTTTGGTCATTTTATTATAACGCAATAAAAAGACCTCGGGTGCTAGGGTTTCTAACATTTTTGGGGCGTGAACAGTAAAAACTGATTGTAAATAGTACCAGCAAGCCTTATTTAGGGTTTTGGGGTCACGTTTTTGTGCAAGAAAAGCCACATCCATTCAAATCTAACATGTTTTAATGGTTATTAAATTGTTTTTGGCCTCTTTTCTCAATTTTCTATAATCAAGAATGCCCAAAAGGACATGGATAGAAGTAATGAGAAAAAATATGGTGACTTTTAGTCTTATTTAGGTTGTAGCCAATGATAGAGAAGAATGGAGGAACATGATTCATGTAGTTGCAATTGGGATAAGGATTGGATGGTCATGATGATGATGAATGATTGTACTAAACGACTTCTGAGGATTTAAGTATTCATAAGAAATGATAAAGGCAATACTTGACACATTGTATGGTCAAGAAAAGATCCATAATAAAATTTGCTCAACAATATAAGAACACCTTCGAAATCTATTCTACCCCTTGTAACGACATACAACTCGGGACATCTATTACGAACAGTTTAGCCACCAATGATAATCTAAAGACAACTAATTTGAAGGAATAATTTTTGTGCTTAAACCAAAAATGTCGCCCAGGTCTTTTTGACCAAAGATCAAGATTGACCATGTCAAGAGTGCAGCACAAATGCTAGAACAATCTATAGACTGGAAATTCAAATATTTCAAACTCATGTACAAAAAAAACATCGCTAGTAATAGTGGATGCACTAATATCAATAACAAAACATGATGAGTACTGAACACTCATTACAGCCATTTCAAACTATAAATCTAGACTTGGGTAACATTCAAGCACCATGAACACAGCAAGTATCCAATACTTTGTTAGCAATAAATTCTATTAAGGAATCAACCTATAATTACCTGGATCATCAAGGTTGTCAAGGTCATGTTTGCTGTCAGTTAACGATGAATCAACTATAGAACCATTTTCTTTGAGGCTTTCAATTGATGAATCCTTCACCATGCCCTAAATGCATTTCCATAACTGAATTAGAACAAAGCACATACTAAAAGATGCATAAAGAGAACCTAAACACACTAAATATTACAAGACAAATTAATATTCACGAAATGATCTTTAAGAAAGAAAGAGAATTGAAAGAGGGAACAAATGAGGGGGGAAGGAAAAACATAAAATTATCCAAGTTAAATATGTCTCAAAGGTGAGAAGGTCATAACCCAATCAAAGAAACACAACCATGAAGGGCAAAGGATATGGCCCTTCAGTCCTATAGGTCACCTATAGTCTGGCTGAGGATATGGCCCTTTTTTCTTGCCCACTGAAGTTTCTATTAATGTACACAAGTGTCAAGTGGTGAAAATGTGATAGGTGGGTCAGGGAACATTTAAAGACAACAGTTTTTCAAATCCATTATTTGGCTGCAATAAGCCTCATAATCTTAAATTTGACCCAAAAGAAACTCAAACAGGCACACATCCACTGGTTTTCCTCCATTCTGAACAGAAATATCAGGTGACAACTGTGCACGGTGACTGACTTATATCCATCCCATAAATATTCTTTATATTCCGTTTGGTGATTGGCAATACATTGATGCAACAGATAATCCATTGTGGTTGACAATTTATTGATGCAACTGATAATCCCTTTTGATATTGTCCTTTTTATCCTTTTCTTTTTTCCATTCAGTAAGGCCCTTGTCAGAACACAAAGTAGACAGCCCTACAAATCCATATTGCAGTATGAAGGGATAATAAGTGGCCGCTCGTGTGGGATTCCATAGAGCTAACCTGGACATGAAGAAAAAAACTTCACCTTCCATTCCTCGTACAAGATCCTTGAATTCTGTTTTGAAGTTTGTCTTAGTTTTAAATATTTATTGCTTTTAAATATTTCTCCCTTGGTGCTCCTATCTAGGGACAAAACTGGTAAGCAAACAATGCCATTGTTGCTATCCTGCTATTGCTCACGCTCCCAACAACAATGTGACTTCCCGGTTAGCCTTTCAAAGTGAAGGTACTCTTCAAAGCCACTTCTTGTATGGGTAAGCTGTTGCTATTTTTATACATGGTTCCCAACTTTTATTTTCCTCTCAAGAAGGCAAAGCTAACAGTGACCACAGAAGAAAACTCTTTCCATTTAAATTCGTGGTACTTAACTAGACGATAGGGTTCTCCAAGTGAGTAATATGCCCATGCACCTACATTTGTCAAAACCAAGGATACCTATGAAGTTTGTCTGCATCAAAAAGAAGGTATTCCGCCCAGGCAAGATAGGGACACTGATATTGTCACCCTATCCCAGAGGTGCTTTTTTAATCTCTTCTTTTGGGGCCATTAAACCAAACCAACTGGCTCCTTCCATAACAAACAAGGTTTGGAGTATCCCCGTCCCCCATAAGACAAGCTTTCAGCTGGATAGTTCTCTCAGACTACTCTGACCTAGGACCAACTACAACATAGAGGCTTCCACATGCCAAATAGATGTTGATGTGCATGCAAGATGATAAGGACATCGATCATCTATTCTTACTACAAGGTGGCTTCCAACCCATGGTCCTCCAACCTGCAACCTTCAGTTGGCCTTGGTCGACACCACAATAGATCAAATGACCTTTTCATACTGAGATCCTCTATCTCGGCCACTTTTTGGACCATCTGGAGAGAGAAACTCCCAGATCTTTGAAAGAAAAACTTTTACTGTTCAATCCATCCACAATCGCATCATAGTCTCCATCATATTTTGGGCTAAGGGATATAAAGGCTTACACACCTTTTCAGCATTAGACTTAGTGAACCACTGAAGGACATTCAGGCCGAAACCCCAGGATTAAGGCTCTCTAATATAGACAGTTACTCACTTGCCAACCCAGGCCTAACAGGGTATAGGGACATTTTGAGGGACCACCAAGGAAATCCTTTTCTGTCCTCCCCTCTCATCATTGGTAATGTTGACTCAAAATGGGTAAAAACCATACCCCTCCTACAAGGTCTAAAAAGAACCATCCACTTTGGCCACCAAAACCATTGGCTCATAGCTGAAGGAGACTTTCAAAACATCATGCAAGGGGCATCTAGAAAAGCACCCTCTACGTGGAGACTTGCATCTCGTTTGATCTCTCTTCCCTCTATGAAAGAACATCCAGGTCTCTCATTCACTGATGTACAAAGAGAGGCTAACCAAACAGCTCACTCCCAAGCCAAAGAAGGTACAGCCCGGACAACTACACCTAGCTCAGCCTCGAAGAAGACTAACCCCTTTCTCTGGATACTCTCCTTTCACTCCCCCACCCACCTCTCTCTCTCT